GGCCCCTGGGAGGGACACAAACCCACTGGACTGATTTTCTGTGTGATCTAACAAGGTTAATGAAGATCTGTACCAGAGGCATTGATTACTTGGAGAATATCCGTGTCCCTGGGACAGAGGGGAAGCCCTGGGTTCAGTGAGGAAGCCCCAGAAATCCTGTCACAGGACAGGAACCATCACCTCTCCACGCTCCCCTTAACCCTGACCCAGCAGGTCCTGTCTGTCCCTGCAGTCCTGTTGCTGTGCACATCATCTCCACGAGCACTGAGCCTCTGCACTAAAACCTGTTCTGACCAAGCCCACTGACTTTCCAGAGAGCTTAAACCAACCTAAGGTCAACAAGGAGAACCAGAACATTTCCCAGGTGAGGATTTCCTGCCTTGCCAAAGAGATGCAGCACCAGCAGACACAGAGCCTCAGCTGCCACAGGAGGAATGAGCAAAACCCTGCACAGGAATGCACAGAAACACTTCCTGAGCTCAGCAAATAGTTTAAAGACACCCTCCAGCCATTCCAGGCTCCTTTGTTTTCACGGAGGCAACACACACCACCTGTCAAAAGCCAATATTTAATTGAGAGGAAATGCACCACAGCCGTGGAAATATCCTGGGTTATGGTAACGATATCGAACCCATCATTTCCATTTCCCACAACAACTCAGGACTGCAGAGCCTGGGGAGCCTCCTGCCCCCCAGCCTGGAGGCACAGCCCCGGGGGGCTCTGTGGGGAGGGCTGGGGAGCTGACAGAGCTGCTGCAGCTCCCGGGGGTCCATCAGGAGGGCACTGAGGGGCTCAGCCCTCCAGGGGTGCAGGGCCAGCTCCCAGGCACCTGCATCCCCTCAAACGAGGGAAGCACTCGGGAGCCAGCTCATTTCAGCAATGTTTGCATCACTTCAGAGTTCCAGCTCGCCCTGGAGACCACGAGAGGAACCACCCTGCCAAAAACGAATAAATAAAATAACCGCCAGTGTTTGCACACTTGAGTGTGGTTTCCGTGTGTGTCTGAGAACGACTCAAACCAGCCACAAAATGGGGAATTCACCCAGCCATTTAAGGGGTTCACAGTTGCAGGAACACACAAAACCAGACTGCCATTCCCTCGTGCACTGTCACAGAGCAGCTACAGCCTGGCAGTGGAAATACTTGCTGGAGGAAGAGATAAATTGCTCAGTTAACTCCAACACAGACCCTTCAGCGAGGCATGAGCCTACAAAGGGCTTAATACTTCTCATGAGGCACAGTTTTAGAACCTTAGGGCAGGCTGCCCAGAGCAGCTGTGGCTGCCCCTGGATCCCTGGAAGTGTCCAGGGCCAGGTTGGACGGGGCTTGAGGAAACCTGAGCTAGTGGGAGGTGTCCCTGCCCATGGCAGGGAGTGGGGCTGGATGAGCTTTACAGTCCCTTCCAACCCAAACCCTTCCAGGAGACTATTCCATGATTCTTTGAAAGCAGAGGACAGAGCCCACCACACTCCCCACAGCCCCTGACCCACTGCAATCTCCTCTGAACTCCACTGAAGCCTCACTTGATCAACTTAACAGGAATTATCACCAGCTTTTAGGAAACCTAACAATGAAGACTTAAAAGAAGAGATTCCTGGGTATTAACTTAAGCTCCTCCAAGCTGTTCCAGTCATTTTCCCCTTTCACATCCCATATTGTCTATAATTTACCAATATAAAGTGTTTTAAAATTATTATGGAGCTGTGATACAATTTTATTTCTGAAATGTAACAGCTCATGAACTTTAACTGTAGAATGGAACCTCAAGCAGATACTTTTATTTCTCCAGTGATTGCACTGCAAGGGCCTGGAGGGACAGGACAAGGGGGAGTGGCTTTAAATGGGAAGAGAGCAGGAGTAGATGATTGGGAAGAAATCTTGGCTGGGAGGGTGGGGAGGCCCTGGCCCAGGTTGCCCAGAGAAGCTGTGGCTGCCCCTGGATCCCGGCAAGTGTCCAAGGCCAGGTTGGACAGGGCTTGGAGTAACCTGGGCTAGTGGAAGGTGTGGAAGTGCCCATGGCAGGCGGTGGGACTGGATGAACTTTGAGGTCCTTCCAACCCAAACCATCCTGAACTCTAACTACAGTATGGAACCCTAAGTAGATATTTTTATTTCCCCACAGCTGCAGTTGAATTTAAACCCTCAGGTCTCCATGGAAAACCAGGGCTCCATGCCAGCAGCTGCACTCCCCAGCAGATCCTGTGACGGATGATCCCACCTGTGCCACGGAAGCCCTGGACCCCAGGCCCCCAGAGCAGAGCTCTCTGGAGGTGCAAGGCACCACAGATTGCTGGGTGACCCAGTTCACCGAGGCTGAGCAGCTCCCCCAGGGAGAACCATCTGCTCTTGTCCTAATTTATTCCATTAGTCACAGCCCAGCACAAATCGCATTAACGGCGACGGGGCAGCAGCAGCTCTGAACTCACCACTCAGAAGTAATTGTGTTATGGGCATCTGCTCTGTGCCTCCCCACAGCCACTTCAGACCCTGCACTGCAACCTGGGCCCAAAGCCTCCCAGGGAAGGGCCAACCCACAGCCTGGCAGCGGGACAAACTTCCAGGGCTGGGCTGCAGGATTAGGAACTGAGACTCAAGGCAGCAAATGTGTTACAGAGGATGTGCTCAGGACAGGAGGGAATGGCCTCAGGCTGTGCCAGGGGAGGCTCCAGTTGGACATCAGCAGGAATTTCTTGCTGGAAAGGGTGGTCAGGCCCTGGCAGGGGCTGCCCAGGGAGGTTTGGAGTCCCCATCCCAGGGAGGTTTGGTGTCCCAGGAAGGCCTGGCCGTGGCACTCAGTGCTCTGGGCTGGGGGACAAGGTGGGGATGGGGCCCAGGTTGACTTGATGGGCTTGGAGGGCTTTTCCAACCATTCTGTGAGGTCCTTAATCCCACAGTGACATCTGTTCTTGGAGAATATGGGAAAGGGAAACAAAGTCCTTGGAAGAAAAAGTTAACTGAAGGTGAGCATATTTTAAAGCAGCTATGAAATTAAACTCAGTCCCAGACGGAGTAACACCGAGATCTGGTTTATAGTTGACTTGGAAATAAACCCCAAAGCCTTGTCCTTCCACCAGAGCTGCAATGCCTGCTGTCTGCCCCGAGCAAGGCAGCAGAGGAGCAGGAGCAGCACATATCCCAGATGTTTCTGTTCCCTTTCCAGCACACACTCCACATCTTCCCAAAGCACTGAGCTGCCTCCTGTCAAGTCTGTCCCACTGAGCAGAGAACTGAGAGATGTGACAGAAGGACTCAGTGGTCTGTTCACTTCTTTTCCATTTAAAAATGATCCTCATGAGTTAAATGGCATTTTCAATCTCATTCACTGGGTAGTTTTGCAACGGACATTAAGCACTATAAACAGGAGCCCTGCCTGAGTAGGACTTGAGAACTGCACAGCACCAACACACAGGTCTCTCGTGATCCCATCCCACAATCTGGTACCTTGCTCATGTCCCTGGATGGGGTGACAGCAGGTCAGCCATGAAATGCAGGAGCACATCCCAAATCCAGCCCCCCAGTCAAGCTCCATCACATCCTGCTGGGTTTTACCCAGAGCCAGACGTGCCTTCACATGTCCAGTCACTACAGTCACTGAAATCCTTTGTGACGAGCTGAACAAACAGAGCCCACAGTGCTGAGGGAGAACTAACCCTGACAAGATGGCAGGGCTGCACCAGGATGAGGAGAGGGAAGTGTGAGCCAGCCCTGGGGATGGAGGGAGCTGAGTCTGCTCAGCTGTTCCTCACCCTGCTGGGGAGAGGCACGGGGGTTAAACACGGGCTACACACGGCTGCCACTGCACAGGGAGCTGCCACCAGGTGCTGTTACACTGCACAGCAAAGAACCACCCATTTACAGCTCTCAAGGTTTCAGAGAAGAGACTTAACAGCAGAATATTTGCTGACCACGACAGAACTGGGCTCATCTGACACTGACTCCGAAAGCAGAGCTTGTTGCTGCCCCTCAGGAATGCAGAGTTACAGCAGTGTAACCCACATCCAGGGCCAGCACTGGGGTTGTCGTGTGCCAGCCCAGCAAAAATTCCTCTTCTGCTGCCACCACAGTGAGTGACACACTCCGAGTGCCAGACTCACCTCAGAACTGACTGCCAAAGGCCCTCAGTTTGGTTGATGTAACCCCCCACAGGCAGCGTCCTCCAGCTGCTCCCACACCCACAGAATGAACCTGGAACGTTCTGCTCTGGTGTTTTTGGTCACTCCACTCTGTGCACCCCAAGCAGCAGCGTTTCCACGTGTGAGAGCAGGAACACCAACTCCCAACGCTCCAGCTGGGTCTGAATTCATTTCTGCAGTTCCCAGAGCTGATCCCACAGCGAGGGGAACTAAAGTGACCCATCCCCCTCTCCTCACCCACGATTTCCATCCCCTGCTGGAGGTGAACTCCAGGTTTACTCTGAGTCAGAAGCCAAGCCCAAGGAACCCCACCTGCAGAGCTCCTGCAGTGGGTGGACAACTCACCCATCTTCTCCGGCTCGTCCGGGCCCGTGCCGGCGATGCAGCTGCTCTCCAGGCCGTAGGTTGGATCCACCTTCCCAGAGGCTCGTGCTGCCTCCTGGACCTTCTTCACATGAGCTTCCACCAGCTCCAGAGGCACCTCCTCTCTGACCCGGGAAAACTCCTCTGTGAAAACACACAAAACGTTACATTCTGGGGTTTTTTTTTGGCAAACTGAAAGTTGTATTTTCTCCAGTGAACATGCAGGTAAATCCTGGGGCAAAGTGGGTTCTCAAATATGCAAGTTCCTTCTTTTCACATGAGGCAGGTGGGTTTGTCTCTCTGATGTGGCAGGAAAGACTTTCTTTCCAAATTATAAAACAGTTGGTTTTGTCTTTTCAATGTGGTCGAAGAGAGTTTCTTCCCAATTATATAAAATTGTATTTCATGTGGAAAAACAAGGAAAAAGTGAAAAGAACTACTTCAAGTGGACACATCTAATGTCCCCTCAACACCTGAACCTACTGGTGGAAGGTGCCCCTGCCCATGGCAGGATCCCCTGTCACTCTTTTTCAGACTAGCCAGGCCCAGCTCCCACAGCCCCTGCCCATCAGAGACACGCTCCAGACTCCTCATCATCCACAGGGCCCTCCTGGACCCTCTGCAGCAGCTCCTTGTCTCGTACTGAGGAGCCCAGCCCCGAACGTGACACCCCACACGTGCCTCACGGGGCAACCTGCCTGAAAACTGGCCACTGCAGTACAAACAACCCACACCTGGGAACCACAGAGCTGTGTCCTACACGCACTGCAGACCCAAACTGCCGTGGATTATCCATCACTAAGCAGTCCAACCCCCTGCTCCAGGAGCAGCCAGAGCCCAGCCGTACCCAGGGCGGCCTTGGCGGCGGCCGAGGCCACGCGAGGGTCCACCACCGAGGCCAGGAAGGCCACCGTGCTCATCACGGGGTTGCCCGACTGGCTGAAGGGCACGGGCTGGTAGGCCAGGGGGCCCAGGGACGCGTCCGAGTTCTCCAGGTAGGGATCCTCGATGGGCAGGCGCAGGAAGTGCAGGATGCACTCGTCCTGCGTGCGGCTCCCCACGTGCTCCGACACCTTGTTCCAGTCGTCCTTGTACATCTCCAGGGCCTGCAAAAGGCACACAGTGACTGTGGGCACACCAGCTGCTGGGGAAAAACAACCCTGCCCGAGGCAAAGAGACCTGCAGTGATGGATTAGGTGGTGATGGAACAACGAATCGGGATCAGACAACCAATAAAAATCACATTCTTCCTGGTAGCAAAATTATCTGTATAAGAAATGTGAACACCCCCCTCAGAAATCAGTGACATTTAAGCAAAATTATCTGTATAAGAAATGTGAACACCTCCCTCAGATATCAGTGACATTTAAGCAAAATTATCTGTATAAGAAATGTGAACACCTCCCTCAGATATCAGTGATATTTAAGCCCCAGGGATCATCACATGAGTTGATGCTGTTACTGTACCAAAAAGAATGGTCAGAAGATTTGGGATTTACCAATATTCACACAGTTGGTGTCTCCCCATTTGCTTTCACAGAGAACTTGGCTTGTCCTACCACGTCTCACAATTCCTCAATCCCCACCACTCCTCCCCGAGGGCTCTTGTGTTCTCCCACTGAACACACGAAGCTCTTTGGGGCAGGGACAGGATTTGTGTCCCACACAAGCACTGGCTGTGATGTTGAAATCCAGTTTTTAGATCCAACAGATGTTATGGAAGGGGAAAAGCATCAAACCAATACATCAGGGGAAAAGAGGGGAAAATATCCCACCCCCTGAAGGCAGGAGAGATCAGATCACCAGTTATCTGATCTCTGTTAACAAGCCCTTATTGGGTAGATAAGCACTTCACAAAATAAGAACTTCTATTTCAAATCAAAGATCTTGTGATTCAGAATTTCAGTCACTTTTAAACTTAAGAAAAGCCTTAAAATAATTTAATAGCAAAGAGCTACTGAAGGCCCTGCATTAGTGTATGAAAACCCAACAAATTAGTCCTGTAAAACCCTCCAAGTGGTGGCCTAATAAATTATTATCCCTTAACAAGCGTTTTTTTCCCTGAAAACTGTTTTAGTGAAGCATTTGTATAACATAAAATGAATGCTGAGTTATCCTGAGCCATTTATTTCTACATTTCTGAGATAATCTGAGTTTGGGAACGAATGGACAGACTGCACTGGGCAGCCTGGTCCTACCACAGCAATCACCACTCCCAACCACTGCTGAACCCTTCTCCTGCCCTCCCTCTGATCTGCCAGGGGTTTAGTAATGAGAATAATAAAAATTAATAAAGAAGTAATGAGTTTAATAAACGAGAAACTGCTCAGTTCAGTAGGTCACATTCAGGGGAAATCTTTATCCACCGTCCAGCCTTCACCTCCCTTCCCCTCCCTCCATCCCTGGAGTACCAGGGCCAGTTGTACCCACACTGCCCAGGAGACCAGCTCTGCTCCCCCAAACCCAGGGGGCTGGGCTCTGCTCCTTCTCCTTCACTGCTTCATCCTCCTGCCACACAAACCCTCTCCCCCAGTCGCTGTCCTTCCCAAAACCAGCTGGGAATGCACTTGCAGTGCTCCGTGGAGACACAGAGGGGCTGGGGCAGGGAGGAGGATCAGGGAGGGGAACTCTTTCCTCCCCCATTAATTCAGTCAACAGGCAGAGGGACAATAATTATTTTAGATATGATTTATTATCTGGAACTTGGCTGCATCTCTGTTTGCCCAAAGCTGCCCTGAGGATTTAATTGGACCGAGCTGGCTTGTTACAGCCCAATTACTTATGCTTGAACTGATATACTCTGCACTGATTTATTCAGAGGGCAAACCCAGGAAAAATGAGCAACGAAAACATTATTAATTTAAACTCATTAAATCAAATTGCAATCGCAAGATTTGGTTTTTTGGGTTTTTTTCTTTTGTTTTAAACAAATATGTCACTGGATTATTTCGTTAGGCTACAACTTGCTGTGTCTGACCAGAAGCTACAAATGTACAAACCACTGAATTTTAAATAATTATTATATTAATAGCATTAATTTAAATAATACATTTAAATAAATAATAGAGGAAAGCAGCCAGTGTATCAAGGCATCAGCCTTGTTTCTCCTCCAAGAATGCTGTGGAAAACACCTGAGCTGTTTACACCCCATAAGCAAATTTTTTTCCACGTGCCTATAGAAAAGTGTTGGCTAAACAGTGAATATCAACCTAAAATAAAGAGAAAAAAATAGAAGTTTTTGCTGTTTGGTAACCACACCCCATATCTGTGAGGGCTCAGTCACAGGAGCTGAGTGTTGTTCAGCACTATCCAGGTCCCTTCTCCAGGCTTTTCCCTAACAATTTAACTTTTCAATGGGTTTATTGACACATGGGAAGACAAAAGGCTGGAACAATCAAGCAGTTGCAATCTGCTTTAAGCTCTCCAAGTAGAAATAAACAAAAATAGAACCCAAAACTGGAATTCTTAGAACCCTGAATTACGTAAAGGGAAATAAATCAGCTGTGCAGCCACTGGAGAGAGAGAATGTCCCTGGAATAGCAAAGCTGGAGAGATGATTTTTCTTTACAGGAAGTGGCAGCACTTTGAATTATTTCAGGCCACTGAGACTCCTCTTCTGATGAAGCCCAGAAAAACAACTGTGCCCTGATGTCAGTGTGGGACACCAGAACAGCCTCTGCAGGGGGAGCTTCCATCCCCCACTGGAATTCCGGGACATCCCACAATCACCACGTGCTTCAGCAGCATCAGATGAAGTGACCCCGGGGACAAAAACCTGCAGCAGCTCTTTGAGCTCATTTTACAGCACCTGACTGGAGCCATCCCTGGGATATTTCTTGTAGACTTCCAGGAAAAGACCAGACAACACCCCAAGTGCAGCTCCGTGGCCAAAGCAACCAGGAGATGTGAGGGATGAAGGGGCTCCCAAAGGGCTCCCAAAGGGCTCCCAGAGGGATCCCAGAGGGCCTCCCTCCTCAGTGGCAGGAGCCAGGAACTGTTTGAGAACCACTGCACCTCAAAGATGAGCTGTTTGCTGAGCTCTGGCACGGGCAGGGACTGTGCAGACCACCAGGATGTCAGACTGCAAAGACCACCAGCATTTCCAAGGATTCACCTGAGCGGGCAGCAAACCAGGGCTGGAATTATTTCCCATGGCTTGAATTACTCACCATCAGTTCACACTGCCAGGGACCTCTGCTGAAGGAAAACACCCCTCTGCACTGCAAAACTTCTTCTTGACTTTACCTGAAGTTCTTAAACACTTAATTTCTGGCTTGCAGGTACAAGTTAGAGCCCAATCTAATTCACAGACCAAATGTGACTCACACAGATGTTGTGCCACCTCCTCCTGCAGTGAGGTCCCTGTGCCCATGGTGGCAGTTGTTCTCTAACTCCAGTGTATCAGCCAGGGGCAGGTTTTTAAAGCCTGATATCCTGCATGTTTCTGTTTCCTACCCTTGGGTTTTGCCCTCCTGAACTTACTTCCAAGAGCAGCAGCGTCTCCTGCTCTGTCCATTCTCTCCCAGCACTTGCACCTTTACTCTACAAAAAACAGGAGAAAAAAAAAAAAAGAAGTGAAATACAGGAGTTTTTGTACAAAACCTTTCAGAAGAAAACACTGAGGAGAAATAGAGAAAAGAGGATTTTCCTAAATGATAAACCCTTCTCTGAGTGCTGAAGGCAGTGGGCTGTGTATGGTGTGTGCTGGTCCAAAATAAGTTCATCTATTTAGGAAGTTCATCAGTAAAAAATAATTTCATTTATCTATAAGTTCATCAGTAAAGAAATGATAAATCTTTACAAGTGAAATGAGCTGTGTGAGAAGGAAAAGTAATTACAGCAAGACCATTTACACTCCAGCAAATCACTTGCTCCTAGAGTTGCTGCTCCCAAATCTATACCTCATTAACTGCTGGGATTAGCTAAAAAAAAAAAAAAGAAATCACAAAATTCACGGTGAAACTTCCCCTCCTGTGACACCCTGACCCATCACGTGTCAAAAAGGGACAGAAGCAGCTTGTCACCTGCCCCTACAGAACATCATTGGGTGGCTCTGTGCCAGAGCACAGCAAAGGAAATGGGTATTTAGGGGAATAAATATTATCTCGAGATGCATTTCAGACACATCATTAACCCAAACAGAACACTCATCATCACCCAGCAGCTGATCAGCTCCACAACAGGCTGATTTAAGAGCCAAAAACCCAACAGCCACACAGAAACCAAACAGGGAAATCAGTATCTGCCAAGAAATCTTCTCCAGCTCACTGGTACGGATCCTGTAAAGAGTCCAGAACCAGGAAGGGATTTATGGATTTGGAGAATATTTATACTCCCCATAACAAGTGAAAAATCAGTCTGTGAAATGTGAGATGAAATGAGGCTTTATTAAAAACACTGATCTCTAGAAGTAGTGCTTTGGGTTTGTGGGGTTTTGAAACCATTCTCTGAAGGAATAAATAGTGTGTAAATAGTATAAATAATAGTGTATAAATAGTTATTTCTTAGGTTTAAATAGTGACCTCTTAGGCCAACGGGCTAATTACACAGAATTAAGCCTGATGTGAGCCCAAAAACTCTGGAGACTCCCCAGCTCCAAAGGTTGTGTTATGGTTACATGGGATTCCTGCAGCACCTCCAGGCACACACAGGTATTGGGAGCAGGAGAAAGGCAGGAGGTTACAGAATCATCACAGCACTGCAATGATGCCTCAAAGTTTTAATTATCCTGTGCAACATGTTGCAGTGACAGTCACAGAATGTCCCCTGCAACGATTTGGGGACACTTTTTGTTCTCTCAGGCTGGAAAACCCTGCTCAGACTTGGAAAACAGGATAGCTAAAGATCCTGCTGGAGGATCTCAGCTCCTGGTTGGATTTATTGGATGGTTTGATGATTCTGAACCACTCAGGTGGAATATGCAGGAACAGAGTGAGTTTGGAGTCTGAAGGCTGACAGTGGAATGGGAATTGATACATGTCTTTATTCCTACAAAATCAGAATTCCAACACAATCACTCCTCTCAGTGTCCTGCACTGGGGAAGAAATCTAAACTGGGACTGTAAGAGTAACAAAAGTCACCTCAATGTCACCAAGCTGGGCACACTTGAGCAGGAAAACTCAACAGAAGGTTGAGGGGAAATAGGGGAAAAAAATCCCAAGACTTGCCTTGGCTAAAGTCTTCTTTGAGTAAATGTCTGTGCGAAGGCCAAAGTTCTGCAGGTCAGTTGGCTTCTCCTTGTTCTTCTCTGGAAAACTCAACATCTGCTGAGCAGCTGGAACCTGGGAACAAACATCACAAGGGAAAGGTGACAGGGGCAAGAACTGCAAGGTTCTCAAGGTCTTCAGACCAGTGTCCACCAGAACATGGACTGGACAGAGAAGTTGAACACAGGTCTGTGGAGGTGACTGTAGAACAAATCTGAGCAATGGGGGCAAGTGTTCCATGTAAAACGACCTGAAATGCTCCACCCAGCTGGACAAACGAGGGAACATTTCACCCAGCTGGGCACAAACAACTGTGCTGCTGTGCCCCCTGGCCCTGGACAGAGCCCAGGCACAGCCAGCCCTGGGACTCACCTGTGGGGTGCGGATGTGCAGGGGCATCAGCCCCGAGGGGGTGTCGGCCAGCACGTTGAAGTGAGGGGTGGGGGGCGGCCCCATGGCCATGGGGCGGCTCTCGGGGTCCACCTGGTAGTTAATGAGGCCCCACTGCTCCAGGAAAGCGTGGACCCTGCCAGAGAGAGGGGCAAATCAAAGCTTCCCAACTGAAGCCTTGCCCAAAGCCCGAGGCCCCCGCCCCGCGGTCCCGCTGTCACCTCATGACGGCACACACGTCCCCCGTGAGGTTCCTCCTGCAGGCTGTGCTGGTCAGGTACTCCTGAGGGTTCAGCCGGTACGTGTCGATCATGAAGTTCCTGTAGGCCAGGTATCTGCAACACAGGGGGCACACAGGGATTCAGGGCCAGGTATCTGCAGCACAGGGGGCACACAGGCATTCAGGGCCAGGTATCTGCCACACAGGGGGCACACAGGCATGGATTTATGGCCAGGTATCTGCAACACAGGGGGCACACAGGGATTCAGGGCCAGGTATCTGCAGCACAGGGGGCACACAGGGATTCAGGGCCAGGTATCTGCCACACAGGGGGCACACAGGCATGGATTTATGGCCAGGTATCTGCAACACAGGGGGCACACAGTCATGGAATCAGGGCCAGGTATCTGCAGCACAGGGGGCACACAGTCATGGAATCAGGGCCAGGGTCACACATTCATGGCCAGGTCTCTGCCATTCAAGGGTCACACAGTCATGGATTCATGCCCAGGGTCACACATCAGGGCCAGGCCTCTGCCACACAAGGGTCACACAGTCATGGATTCATGCCCAGGGTCACACATCAGGGCCAGGCCTCTGCCACACAAGGGGCACACAGCTCATGGCCACTGAGGGCTCACAACATCCAGACTCTCTATTTTAGGATTCACCTCCTCCAAACACCCATGTCACTGACAAGGAAACACCAACAGGCTGTTTTTATTGGTGAAATTTAGGAACCAGCATCCAAAGCAACAGGTTAAGTGGATTTATTTTTATACACTGAGTGTGACCCATCTCTTCCAGACTGTTTCACTCTGGATTTTCCCTGTGGTTGGATGGAAACACGCTCCAATTGCAGTCACACAAATATCTGTGTTAGGTTGGGCATCAACCAAATATTCACACAACAGTAGTAGCTGCAGAAAAAACTAGTGGGGTCTGGTCTTCCCATGGAAATAGGGTAAACAATCCTTGTCCATCCCTGTGTGAGGCTGGAAGGAAAAAGGCTGCACAGAGAAGCAGCAGCAGCAGCACAGCAGCTGGAACACTGCTGTGGCTACACAGGGAGTTTTTAATGCATGAAGAGAGGAGGGAGGAAAGGCTGGGGAACAGCAACATGGGGAAGAGCAGATCTTTGAAAAGCAGAGCATAAGAGCCCAGAGCCAGCACAGCTGGGAACAGCTGGAGCAGAAACAATCCCTGTGAGATTCCCATATTTCAGCACATGACAGCCCAAGGAAGCAGGTTTTGGGGTTCAGCCCATTCCCTGCACTGTGGCTTCAGAGGCTCCTCAGGAAGTTTCTGCAATATCCTGATGCTTCCTAATAAAAATTGTCCAGAAAATAACCTCCCAGAAAATTACTGACAGCCCTGTTCTTTAGAGGGAAAAAAACCCCCAATCTGCCAAATTCAAGTTGGAATCATCCAGGCTGGACGGGGCTTGGAGCAACCTGGTCTGCTGGAAGGTGTCCCTGCCCACAGCAGGAGGGGAGGAATTAGGGGGTCTTTCAGTCCCTCCCCACCCAAACCATCCTGGGATTCTGTGAAGCGAGCATCCTGTGAAAAGCTGTGTTTAAAACAGTGTATTGTTAGCAGATCCTCCCTTTGGAAAATTCCAGAGGGAATGTCTCACATGCAGTGTGTGCAAAGCAGCTGGTAACCAAAAATATAAATAAATCATCCAGGCAAAGCATAAGGAGACAGATGCTGCAAGCACAGATCCCTGCCAAAATCCCACATCTCCCTCCTGACCAAATTCCATAGGAAGCTGGTCAGGAGCAACCCTGGGGTAGGTGTTGGGCTCCTGGGGATGTTTGGGAGCTGAAGGGGAGCTCTTCCCCAGAGGAGTACTGAGGCACATCTCTGAATGCTCCAGGGCAGAACTGGGTTCCCACCTGCCCAGGAACAGGTCTTGGCTGCAGAAATTAATATTTATTAGCAAAGGTCACATCAAGAGGTGCAGAGAGAAGCCCAAGACAGAAGCATCCCAAGGTTTTATCCTGAAGGGAGATGGTTTTCAACCACGACATGACCCATCAGCTAAAACCTGTCAACAGCGAGAAGGGAAGTCAAGTGGGATTTAGTTACAAAGCCTGCTCAGACAGGAGCCACCCCCAGGCACTGCTGTCACAACAATGAACCTGGGTGAGCTCCTCAAACATGGTGTTCTGGCCTGAACACTCAGCTGGAGGCAAATCATCTCCATTCACAGGGATGGCACTCCTTGATTTAAACAGGAAACACAAAGCCAAGCCCACGTGCTGCTCCTACAACCCCTAAATGGGACCAAAATAGATCTCCAGGACAACAGGAGGACTGGGAGGAGCCCCTGACCCGCTCCACTCACAGGCAGTAACCAGCAGCAGCTCAGGGATGAGAATCAGGAGACCTGATGTTTTGATGCCAAGTGGGAAAGGAATCCTGGGACCAGAGGTGACAACCCCATCAGTGGGAAACAGAGAGATCAGCATTCCTTCAGCTGCCTCAGACCCAGAGTGCTGGAAACCCCCAAACAACCACCTGCTGAACAGTAAAACTGGGGGAGCAGCGTCACTGTCAAATGCAATTTGGAACAAACCCATTTTGGAATGGCAGGGGGTTGGAACCAGATGATCCTGAAGGTCCCTCCCAACCCAAACCACTCTGGAATTCCATGGTGCAGCTGTAGTTACCTCTGGAACTCAGACATGTAGAGAAGTTGTAAGGAAAGACTATAGACTGAAAATTCCAGGGCTCCAGGGACCTCAGGGGGTCTGTAATCCAACCTCCCACTCAAACCATGGACTTTGACTGGGTTTCCCAGGGCTTTGTCCTGGAAACACTCCAAGGAGGAACAATCCCAACTTCCCAGGGCCCTATCCCAGAGCTTCATCTTCTTCAGGGTTTAAAGTTTAAAGTTTCAAAATGGAACTTAATGTCAGACCAGAAGCCTCACAACCCAACAGTGACACCTGAGACAGGGAAATTCCAGCACAGGAACAGGCCCTGCAGGAATTCTCCTGTCCAGGTTGGGAGAGCTGGGGGGGTTCCCCTGGAGAAGAGAAGGCTCCAGGGAGAGCTGAGAGCCCCTGGT